GTAAAACAAAAATGGGTTTTCTACTAAATATCGACGTAAAATTTCGGATAAAAAAATTTTTTTATCACCCTAATTTTCGTTATTTTTTGAGAATTTTGTTTTACTTATATTTTTTAAAATTATACTTATTTGACTTTCGATGAAATATTTTATTTTCTCAAACACACCTAAGGTACTTTTACTTCCAATCTATAGCCTGGATAAAGTGTGATGGAAAAAAAATTTGTCGTTGGAAATATCAATATGGGGAAGCATTGTTTTTAACAGCACACATTTACTATAATTCAATGTTTTGATTCCGATATTTATCTTCTATCGAGCATTGTTTTTTACGTTTGGGAGGATGGTTGCATAATTAAACAGTACTGGAAGTCATACAAACGAAAATATCATGACCGTACACTTTAATGATCCGACAGAAAATGTGTCATTTTTTTGTCGTGAAAGCAAATGTGACACCTCTCTTTTATTTTCCACGATCAATGAGTAATACGGAAAATTTTTTTCTAAATACTTAGCACAGTTTTTGTACTAATTCTGTAACTGTTTTGCATTTGCTTTTAAATTTGAAACATGATAGAAACCTTGAAAATTTGTTGAAAAAATTATGCTCTTTCACTCAGTTAATAAATTTGTTGTTACGGTATATATCTAACACTAGACAACTTTAACCGAGGTTGTAACGTATTCGATATATATAAGTTATTCAGAAAGTATGGATTAAAGAAAAGGGAAATCAGTTATGTAACATTATATTTTTGACATTGAAGTTTATCAGATTGTGTAAACACGTGTAGTTTATTTACATGAGTATACCTTTCAACTTTAGAGCACCAACTAAATGATGATTGGGTACGTATCCTTCATCGGAATTATGTGTATTGACTTATGATAATTTAATGTGATTGTTTACCTCAGTAGCCAATGTCTTGTTACGGCAGAGTGAAACTAACTTCAATAATCATTCTGTTCAAGAAGATGCAAGGTTGATAAGAAATTATCCGACTAACTGTAAATGTGCGCGTTACTTGAAAATCAAAATCAAACGCTTGATTATACAAGGTCAAGAATTCTATATAACTAGTCTCTGATGCAGCATTCTTGAGAACAGTGTATAGTTGTGGTTTTTTTGAATTGGTCACATTTTTTTTAGTCATAGTGGTAAATTATCTGTTTATATAAAAATATCGTTCAGTTTAAGCTATACACTAAACTAAATAGTTTTGATTATTTTTGCAGGAAAATCAGAGAAGTTCAATGATCCATGTAGTCCATATTATGCTGGAGACTTTGCATTTTCCGAAGTTGAAACAAAGTCATTATCAGAATATATTGATACTATTGCACACGATCTTCTTGCTTATATAAGTTTCAATAGTCACAGTAAGAAGCTAATGTATCCATACGATTATCTCATACAAGATCAAAAAGAAATTTTAAAAAGAAATAACGAACAGGTATTTTTTTCTAATGTACAGACTGAGATAAAATTGTTTTAAGTTTTAAACACTATTTTTCAACAATTTATTATTGAATTCTTTTTCTAATGCTTGGATATTTTCACACAATCATGTTCATTTGAAAAAAAAATTAATTTTAATTTTATTGTATAGCATTTTGCTGCTTTGGTTGCTGTAAAAAGTCTTTCAAAAGAATATGGCACTGAATTTCAAGTTGGAAGTATCGAAAAACTTATGAAAGGTTTGTGTAACAAATGTCGTATTTGGTTCTTTGAGTATACAATAAATAATAATAATATACTGAAAAATATAGCAATTTTTTTATTTCATATGTTTAAGATGCAAATGGAAGCTCCGTTTATTGGGTGAAGAACAAACATCATGTACCTTTCGTATACCTGTACCCAACACTTGACAACGCAACCGCACACAGTAAAGGATATGGCCTGGAAGTTTTACCAAGTGAAATCATTTCCGTCGGCAAAAGAGTCGTTAATTCGATTATTGCTCTTTTTAGTAGGGTGAACAAGAGGCATAGTTGATAACCAAAACAATAGTTCAGATTGCCATAGTATATAAATATAAGCTCTACATAGAGATACAAAATAGTGTGCAAAGTAAGAGATACACGTGTATTCATTTGAATACGTGAACGTTGAATTGAAATAAAAATCTTGTTTATTAAAATCTGAAACCACACTCGATGAGCTTTCACAAAGACGTTGAACAGTCATTCATAAATAAAATATATACGTTCATAGCGTATTTTCTATACCTATTTAAGCATTGTCAACCAAAAATATTGGTAGAATTAATAAATAAAAAGTAAATGTTCAATCAATATTTTTTTAGTTTACACGCTATGCAGTTATTTATAATAAAATTATTAATTAGCAGTTTGTCTTGTAAATTATCAACGAATCTCCGATAGTCACTTAAACTATAACAAATATAAATTTTAACTCCAAGAATTATCTGTGGCTTCATTTTATACAAGTGTAAATAATCGATATTTATAAAAATCATAAAAATAGTTTAAAAAAATAATTCTCAGATTTATCAAACGTTTCTTTGGTTTTCCATGTTTACAGCCGAGTGTAATGAATATAATGTCAAACAATAAAAAAGTAAAAAAGTTTTATGACTATGTCCTTAAAACCTACAACGCAGCAGAAGCATCTAGAACTTTTCGTATTTGGGTTAAATTTTCATCAACTCTTCATCGTAAAATAAATAACTACGAGTCATTTCATTTATATTTCAATAGCATGTTTTGTACATCCAATCTAAACATATTCCAATTCGTATAAACACTGAAAGTAGTTCAAGGATTGGTGTGAATTCAAACCCGTAGTATACCAAAATAAAGCTTAGGATCAATAGAGAAAAAGAATTTTTTTTTACAACGTGCAGTGATGAACAAAAATGGGTTTTCTACTAAATATCGACGTAAAATTTCGGATAAAAAAATTTTTTTATCACCCTAATTTTCGTTATTTTTTGAGAATTTTGTTTTACTTATATTTTTTAAAATTATACTTATTTGACTTTCGATGAAATATTTTATTTTCTCAAACACACCTAAGGTACTTTTACTTCCAATCTATAGCCTGGATAAAGTGTGATGGAAAAAAAATTTGTCGTTGGAAATATCAATATGGGGAAGCATTGTTTTTAACAGCACACAATCACAAAAATTTAGTATGTTTGTAAAATATATTATAAAATATGAAAGTACTCACACATTTGACAAACTATATGAGAATAAACTATGTATAAATTTTACTCTTATGTCATTTTGATAATTTTTTATTCTAGTTGAGTGAACATGACGTCAACGGGCTTTTTATATCTGTGTCTCATAGTTATCTTCACAGGAGTAGTAAATAGCTCAAGTGACAATTCTGCACAAGTGTATCAAATTAATCCGAGGACCAATATTAGTCAACACGGAAATGTGCGTATGAAAAACTACTTTTAATTATTTTTCAGATTTTTAGAAGATTTCAATAATCAAAATAAAAATAAATATTGTTCCACTGATATTTATTATTTTATAAGCTAAATAAAATAAGGGATTCTAGTCAAAGAACTCTATAATATTAACAACAAGAATAATTAACAATACTCACTTACATGAGGTAAATTTTTTCCGCAATTCTACAATTTATTATTTCAAAAGCAGAGCAAATTTGGTTGGTTGAGATTCCATACTCTGGACGAAATTTATGATTGGTTGGATGGATTGCAAAAAAAATTCCCTAAAAATGTACAAGTTATCGTTGCTGGTGTTTCCACGGAAAACCGTCTCATCAAAGGCGTCCATCTAAAATTTAGTGAAAATAAAAAGGCCGTTTTCATCGAGGGAGGAATCCATGCCCGAGAATGGCTATCGCATTCAACATCCACGTACCTAATAAATGAGCTCTTGACGAGCGAAAGACCAGACATTCGCCAACTCGCTGCATCATACGAGTGGTATATCTTCCCTAGTGTCAATCCCGATGGTTATGTTTATACGCATATACAGGTAGGTATTCTAAATTTTATCTAAAATTTTTTTAATTTGTAACATAGTAATTCGCGAATTTTACTGTTTTTAGCCGACTTCAATGAATTATCGGTTGTGGCGTAAAAATCGATCAAAATCGTCAAGCTTAAGCTGTTATCAAGGTTTTTGTGGTTATTGCAACGGCGTGGATTTGAATCGTAACTGGGACTTCTACTGGGGAGGTGAGTTATAGACATTTATTCATCCTCTACTAGAAAAAAAACTTTTAAACGATAAAGTCCTCAAAATCCATGTAACATAATAATAAGCGTTAAATAATTACGATTCATAAGCTATAATAAAAAAAAATTGTGTTACTTCAATTAAATGAGATTTGAATCGACGATATGCCGATGATTTGTTGTTTAAGTTATTCTAAAACTTTTTGCTCAGTAAAATAAAACGAAATATTTTTAATACTTGTTTAGGTAAACCGGGGACGTTTCATGATACGTGTAGTGAAATTTATCCAGGAACATCTGCTTTTTCAGAATCGGAAACAAAGTCACTATCTAAATATATTAATGGCATCGCACCCAATCTCTTTGCTTATATTAGTTTCCACAGTTACTCTCAGAAACTCATATTCCCTTATGGACACACCATAAATCGTGTGAATAACTATGATGAACAGGTAACCACTAAATTATTGAAAACCAAAAAAATAAAAAAAAAAAAAAAATCACATAGCAAAGTTTAATCTTATATATTTTTCATGAAACAACAAAATTTGTTATATATTTCATGTTTTTTGCTCAGTATTCTGTTGCTCTTGATGCTGTAAAAGCGCTTTCAAAGAGGCACCAAACTCAGTACGAAGTAGGAAGCATTGGAGAACTTATGGGAGGTTCGTTGAAATTGTGAAATTCGTCTATTACTTATAATATTAATTAAGTAATGTTTTACACAAAAAAAAGACATACATTGATTTTTTTCACTTTTTTTTTTTAGAAGCTACTGGTAGCTCGTTGGACTGGTTGAAGAATAAGTACAACATACCGTTCGCGTATTGCTACGAGTTACGAGGTCAAACGAGCAGCGGTAGATTTTACGGCTTCGTCGCTCCGCCAAGTGAAATTACTCCCGTGGCTGAAGAAGTCATGGATTCATTGCTTGCTCTTTTCCTCAGTGCTACTAAACGTAAGCGTTACTCACAATCATAGTTTGTTCATCAAGAGATTAAACCTTGTTATTCCGAGATTAGTTGTGCGACCTTACCTTGCGAGTAACTGTAAATGTGACGAGTCTTGTTGTTATTGACTGATGATTTAGATTTAGTTTTTTCCAAGTTATATGACGATGCAAGTACTGAAACTTTCATGAAAATAATATTTTTTATGACGTATATACACTATATTTGTTATCTACTTAATGTTAATAAAGAATTTTTTTTAACAATTGCAGTTTATTTTACTCTTATTATTCACGTTTTAGTATACAATTTTTAATCACACGTATGCACAGAATCTTTGGATGGTACAGTGGCTCATTACATATAGGCTTTTTCAAACTAATTGTTTTTCATGCTATGTCTGTTTTGATGAGTAATTTCCATTTAGATAATGGAACTTTTTCATTCCGGCTTTCGAGGTTAGCAGTAGAATTATTTTCATTTCACGATTTCCAACAAATAATGTACCATTCAATTAATTATAAAACAACAACGTTCTAAAATATCTTTAGATAACTTCTAAATCTTTTACAGTAGTTGCCATTAACAGTGCAATCACTGATACTCATGACAAAATTGGCTATCCATCATACACGATATAATTTTCATTGTTTTAAGTTTTCGGAGGCACATATTTTTTCGACAGTTCCTTGTTTCTTCTTTTGTACCTAAAAAAGTGCACAAATATGTAATTTGTTTATAGTTGTCACCTGAATTAAGCGAATACTTTTTTAATCCACACTACAAAAATTTATTTCACTGCTTGTAAAGTTTAACACAGAACTTAAAAAATTTTTTTCCCACAAAAAAATGCATTACAGTTTGAATGAAAGAACAATTGAAAACAGAGAGTAAAAGTGTTGTAATGGTAAGCTAATATTTTATATTCAGAATAAACTTCAACATCTAAAATGTAATTGTACTTATCTTTAAATAACGTTTATGATAGTTTTAAGATTTGAATAAAATAATTTTCTCATTTTAATATCTGACAGATTTCATTTTGGTCGCATCCTAAAATATTTTCACACAATCATGTTCATTTGAAAAAAAAATTAATTTTAATTTTATTGTATAGCATTTTGCTGCTTTGGTTGCTGTAAAAAGTCTTTCAAAAGAATATGGCACTGAATTTCAAGTTGGAAGTATCGAAAAACTTATGAAAGGTTTGTGTANCAGTATGGAGCTCAAAGGCATCGTAGAAACAGCATTTTCTAAATTTTTATTATCTGTTTATATAAAAATATCGTTCAGTTTAAGCTATACACTAAACTAAATAGTTTTGATTATTTTTGCAGGAAAATCAGAGAAGTTCAATGATCCATGTAGTCCATATTATGCTGGAGACTTTGCATTTTCCGAAGTTGAAACAAAGTCATTATCAGAATATATTGATACTATTGCACACGATCTTCTTGCTTATATAAGTTTCAATAGTCACAGTAAGAAGCTAATGTATCCATACGATTATCTCATACAAGATCAAAAAGAAATTTTAAAAAGAAATAACGAACAGGTATTTTTTTCTAATGTACAGACTGAGATAAAATTGTTTTAAGTTTTAAACACTATTTTTCAACAATTTATTATTGAATTCTTTTTCTAATGCTTGGATATTTTCACACAATCATGTTCATTTGAAAAAAAAATTAATTTTAATTTTATTGTATAGCATTTTGCTGCTTTGGTTGCTGTAAAAAGTCTTTCAAAAGAATATGGCACTGAATTTCAAGTTGGAAGTATCGAAAAACTTATGAAAGGTTTGTGTAACAAATGTCGTATTTGGTTCTTTGAGTATACAATAAATAATAATAATATACTGAAAAATATAGCAATTTTTTTATTTCATATGTTTAAGATGCAAATGGAAGCTCCGTTTATTGGGTGAAGAACAAACATCATGTACCTTTCGTATACCTGTACCCAACACTTGACAACGCAACCGCACACAGTAAAGGATATGGCCTGGAAGTTTTACCAAGTGAAATCATTTCCGTCGGCAAAAGAGTCGTTAATTCGATTATTGCTCTTTTTAGTAGGGTGAACAAGAGGCATAGTTGATAACCAAAACAATAGTTCAGATTGCCATAGTATATAAATATAAGCTCTACATAGAGATACAAAATAGTGTGCAAAGTAAGAGATACACGTGTATTCATTTGAATACGTGAACGTTGAATTGAAATAAAAATCTTGTTTATTAAAATCTGAAACCACACTCGATGAGCTTTCACAAAGACGTTGAACAGTCATTCATAAATAAAATATATACGTTCATAGCGTATTTTCTATACCTATTTAAGCATTGTCAACCAAAAATATTGGTAGAATTAATAAATAAAAAGTAAATGTTCAATCAATATTTTTTTAGTTTACACGCTATGCAGTTATTTATAATAAAATTATTAATTAGCAGTTTGTCTTGTAAATTATCAACGAATCTCCGATAGTCACTTAAACTATAACAAATATAAATTTTAACTCCAAGAATTATCTGTGGCTTCATTTTATACAAGTGTAAATAATCGATATTTATAAAAATCATAAAAATAGTTTAAAAAAATAATTCTCAGATTTATCAAACGTTTCTTTGGTTTTCCATGTTTACAGCCGAGTGTAATGAATATAATGTCAAACAATAAAAAAGTAAAAAAGTTTTATGACTATGTCCTTAAAACCTACAACGCAGCAGAAGCATCTAGAACTTTTCGTATTTGGGTTAAATTTTCATCAACTCTTCATCGTAAAATAAATAACTACGAGTCATTTCATTTATATTTCAATAGCATGTTTTGTACATCCAATCTAAACATATTCCAATTCGTATAAACACTGAAAGTAGTTCAAGGATTGGTGTGAATTCAAACCCGTAGTATACCAAAATAAAGCTTAGGATCAATAGAGAAAAAGAATTTTTTTTTACAACGTGCAGTGATGAACAAAAATGGGTTTTCT